GCTATTGACAGCTGCAAGCTGTTCAGAAGGGACAGGCTAGGAACAAGAGGAGTAAGTTTGGGTGTTGCCCTCTATATCAAGAAAGGAATAGAGTGTGAAGAGCTGTCCATGAAATGGCTGAGTAAGTTGAAAGCCAGTGGGTGAGAAACAGAGTCTGAAGCAAGAAAGGGAGACTTCTGAGTGGTATCTGCTATAGATCACCTGATCAGGAGCCTGTTGAAGAAGCCTTCTTCCTCCAGCTACAGAAGGCATCACGACTGCAGGTCTCATCCTGCTGGAGGACTGGAGGACCAACCAGATGTGCTGAAAAAGTAGCATGGAGGCTACTGAAATTCAATGAGGATAAATTATTGAGCCAAATAATAGACAGTCCTGTGCCGGTCTGCCTAAACCAAATGCCGAGCAACTTGATCTAACTGTAAATGTTCCAGCCATTGCTGGAGAGCTGGATCAGATGACCTTTAAATGAGAGGGTCTATAGCAGTTCTACTATTCTATTATCTCAAGTAAATGTGGGACATTTGTGATCCTGTTCTCTTACTTTTTGGACTGTACTTCTTCCTTTTCCTTCTCTTCTCTGCTAACCTTTCTTCCTCACTTTCCTTCTGTTCAGTTGCTCTTCTTCCTCTCCCATCTGGTCTTGGCTTTCATTTCTGTGTTTCCCTTCTCTAGCTACAGGCATATCTCCTCCTCCCTTCTGAGATCAACGCACTGCTGTGTGAAACAGAGCTGTTTCTCTGAGTAGTGTTGTAGCAGCTTTCCACAATTGTTTAAAGACAGTAACATAAACATTAAAATAAAATAAAATTATAGAACAGATAATATTTAATATGAAATACTAATAGGGGTAAAGTCACTTTAAAGTGGCACTTTATAGTGCCACAGTATTTTGTAGAATTGAATAAAGAAGAAATAAAAAAGACATGCCACTTTTTTTTTTTTTTTTTCCCCCTAGGTTATTTTTTTCCTATAATTACCGATAACCCACTACTAGGCTTCAAGGACAAAAATAACAGACTGTCTAGATATCAAACCAGAACTACTCTTTTTCGCTGGCAGCAGTTTGGAAAGATGATTCCTCAAGGTACCTGAAGTCTATAATTGTCAGATCAGTCATTCCCATGGAGAAGTCCAGGCAGGTGGTATCTACTCTGTGATTATGTCTTTTTTTTTTTTTTAAAGTTGGTTTCACATCATCCCCAAAAGCCAAATCTGATGAAATGGAATATTTGTATTTTGGGGAGAGAGAAGTGTATTGGAAGGGGTTAGCTCTATCTACACTGGTGCAAGCATTGGCAACTTCTGTGTTTAATTTCTCATTTCCAACCATTTTCTGAGGGTTTTCAGGGGGGAAATGTGTTAAGGCCCCAGGTGGGAAACAGGTCCCTACATGCAAGGTGCTGTACAAACACATTAAATTCCCTGACTTGAAGATCTTACAGTGTAAGCAGAGAGGATGAGGGAGAGGCTGGAGGGTAGAGGCAGAATGAGCACAATCTTTGTTTTACAGCAAACAGCTAAATTAAATGTTGTCCCCAGTGGGCTAAAAGAAATCTAAGGTAGAAATGGACATCAAACATCGATTACCTGAACCTCAGTGTTTTGCTCATAAAGCAGTTTAGTCTTCAGGCAAAATCTGGCCTCAGGTTTGATCTTTCAATAACATTTTTCACTTTCTTATCATTTTCAGAAGCAATGAACTTTCAACTGATGCATTGTAAGGTAGACCAGGCACAAAGGAAGAGCAATTCACTGCCCATTCATATGCAGCCGTCTCTTGTGCAGGGCACAGCAGGTATGTAAGAGCTACCTAGCCATACTACTGAGAATAAAGAAGACAGTGTTTAGCAGATACCTGGGCGGAATGACTAGCAGGTGGGGTCTAACCTTCATTCCGGAACAGAAGTGTTATCAGATTTTTAATGATCATAGATTAGACAAAGGACATATACAGACTCCCTCTCTCTTTTTCTCTGTGTGCATCTGTTTGTGGGAATAAGATCATGTCTGTCTCTGACAGCTGTGCCATGCCTAGGAGAGTAGAATAAGTGATCTGCTAATAGAGGATAGTAAAAAGCTCCTAGAGATCAAAAGATAGCAGACTGTGCCTTTTCTTTCTCGTTTCTTCTTTCTCTCTCTAGTTTTCTTCTTTTTTTTTTTCTTTTTTCTTTTTTTCTTTTTTTTCTTTTTTCTTTTTTCTTTTTCCGCTAAGCTGAAAGAAGAGGGGATCTATTCTCACCTTTACCGTTTAAGATGGGTGATTTGTCTCGTAATTGTGTTCGCTGACTGCAGCAGATGGATTCATTACTAGGGCTGGTCAGAAATCTTTCAACACAATGTGTTTTTGTGTGTGTGTGAAAATGATGAATCATCAAAACTGAAACTTTTCATGAAGATACAGAGGAAACTTTTGTCACAGTTTTCTCAGCTCCCCACTGGGACTTGTGATTAAAACCAGAGAAAGCAAAAGCTTCTCATCTTAGGGTAGCCTGGAAGACAGGATATGTGGGCAGTGAGATTTTCGGTTTCTCTATTATTCTGAGCTGTTTCTTTTTTGAATGAAGTGTGGTAGTTACTTTATTATAAAATTATGCAGCACATTTCCTTAGGTATGTGTGAGTACATATAGAAATGCAAAGTGAGTAGAAAAGCTTTAATAAGAGGCACTGAGAGAAAGATGATGGCATGCTGAACACTATTAAACAAATGCTGGCAATGTTGCCAGCTAAAGCCACCATTTGCCTTTTTGAAGTCAGAAAAGCATTTGCGATCTACAGAGGGAACAGCTTGCTCACTGCAGACCATTTCACCCTAATCCACCAGATCCCACTCCTTTTGTTTCAACTGAAATTATCAAAATAATCCAGAATGAAGAATGCTCAAGGAAGAGTTTTGAAGGTAAAGTCACTTAGCTCATGACCACCGCTGAAGAGTGAAATTTTACAAGGAAAGGAGGTCAAATACCTAGTTATCTGCTCATGTTTACATGCTGTTAAAACCCTTTCTCCTCTGAGTGAGTGTTTAACTTGTATATAAACTACTGCTGATTGTACTGCTGCCTTTGGGAACCAATCTTATGCATGACTTAACCTGTGCATATAGAAGTTTGTCTTGGTCCTCTTTAGCAAATGTTCAGTGTAGGCTCTAATCAGAACAGAGAGACATGCTTCCAACAGGAGCTACAACCATCAAGAGACTTTAGAAGACAAGCAGGACACCAAATGCCTTTTTTAAATAGGACAAGGCAGCTTGCTAATGAGTAGGAACTTGGCCCTGAGGTTTCAGCGTATGACAGTCATGTAAATAGCAATCCTGCTGTTGTAATTGGAGGAGGAAATTAATATTAAGACTATCCAATCAGTAGGAACAATAATGAGGAACAACTAAAAGATTACTGAGCAGTAAAATGCTAGACTGGGATTTATGGGGAACGGAGTAGAAAGGAATTGGTGTCAAGTCTTCTTTGCTAATAAATGGCATGAGAATCAAAAGAAAAGTGTCTTACTAGCAGAACAGAAACAAGAAGAGGTAAACAAAATTGGCAGAAAAGATGTTGTTAATCTTAGAAAAAAAAATGAGTCGTTCCAAATTACTACAAAGACTTATTCTATCCACCACCATTCCCAACACTTTTTCACATCATTCACAGCACAGTTGAGGATTTTGCATTTCTTCCCTCTTTCATTCTTTCCGCGGAAATTTACTTTTAATGTAGAAATACCTTCTCTTTAAGGAAAAGTAATTCTGTTACTTACAGTTGGGATACATCATTTTTCTAGACAATTTGTAACATGCAAATTGTACGAAGCTTATTTTCTAGGTTGATTAATATACACAATCCTTTGTCTGTAAATGCTACTGAGGTTATGACCGGGGACGATAACGTTGAATCCCTATGGGTAAAGATCAGAGGAAGGGCTGACAAGACAGGCACCCTGGTGGGCGTCTGTTATAGACCTCCAAATCAGGATGAAGAGACAGATGAGGTATTCTATAAGCAGCTGGCACAAGCTGCACAGTCGCCTGCCCTTGTCCTCATGGGGGACTTTAACTTCCCTGACATATGCTGGGAGTACAGCACAGCACAGAGGAAGCAGTATAGGAGGTTTCTGGAATGCGTAGAGGACAACTTCCTGATACAGCTGGTCAGAGAGCCCACGAGAGGAACTGCCCCACTAGACCTGCTGTTCACAAACAGGGAAGGTTTGGTGGGAGATGTGGAGGTTGGAGGCTGTCTTGGGCAGAGTGATCATGAAATGATAGACTTCGTGATTCATGGTGGAGCCTGGAGGGGGAATAGTAAAATTGCTACCTTGGACTTCAGGAGGGTGGACTTTGAATTGTTCAGGGGACTAATAAGGGGAGTCCCCTGGCATTCAGTCTTAGCGAGTAAGGGGGTCCAAGAGAGCTGGTTGCTCTTCAAGAAGGAAGTCTTAAGGGCGCAGGAGCAGGCAGTCCCCCTGAGCTGCAAAATGAGCAGGCGGGGAAGAAGACCGGCGTGGATGAACAGGGAACTGTTCCTGAGGCTCCGGGAGAAAAAGAGAACCTACCGCCTGTGGAAAGAGGGACAGGCCACTCAAAATGAATACAAGGAAGTTGTTAGGATATGTAGAGGTGAAATCAGAAAGGCAAAAGCCCAGCTTGAATTTAACCTAGCCGCTGGGGTGAAAAGGAATAAGAAACTCTTTTATAAATACATTAACTGTAAGAGGAGGACAAAGGAGAATATCCACTCTTTGCTGGATGAGGCTGGGAATGTGACCACTGAGGATAAGGAAAAGGCGGAGGTTCTGAATGCCTTCTTTACGTCTGTCTTTAAAAGTCAGACCAGTTATCCTCAGGATACTCCTCTCTCTGACCTGGTAATCTCGGCTGGGGAGCACACTAACCCCCCCGTGATTCTGGAGGAAACAGTCAGAGACCTACTGCTCCAACTGGACTGCCACAAGTCGATGGGGCCAGATGGGATCCACCCAAGAGTGCTGAGGGAACTGGCGGAGGTGAGAGCCGAGCCGCTTTCCATCATCTGTCAACGCTCCTTGTTGACTGGTGAGGTCCCAGAAGACTGGAGGCTTGCCGATGTGACTCCCATTTATAAGAAAGGTCGTAAGGAGGATCCGGGGAACTACAGGCCTGTTAGCCTGACCTCGGTGCCAGGGAAGGTTATGGAGCAGATTGTCTTGAGGGAGATCATGCGGCATGTGCAGGGTGACCGGGGGATCAGGCCTAGCCAGCATGGGTTCATGAAGGGCAGGTCCTGTTTGACCAACCTGATCTCCTTCTATGATCTAGTGACCCATCTGGTGGATGAGGGAAAGGCTGTTGATGTGGTCTACCTAGACTTCAGCAAAGCCTTTGACACTGTCTCCCACAGCATTCTCCTGCAGAAGCTGGCAGCCAGAGGCTTGGATGGATACACTCTTGGCTGGGTAAGGAGCTGGTTGGAGGGCCGGGCACAGAGAGTGGTGGTGAATGGAGTCAAATCCAGCTGGTGACCGGTTGTGAATGGTGTTCCCCAGGGGTCGGTGCTGGGGCCTGTCCTCTTCAATATCTTTATTGATGACCTCGATGAGGGCATCGAGTGCACCCTCAGTAAATTCGCAGATGACACCAAATTGGCTGGAAGTGTGGATCTGTCTGGGGGTAGCGAGGCCCTACAGAGGGATCTGGACAGGCTGGAGAGCTGGGCTGAAGCCAATAGGATGAGTTTCAACAAGGCCAAATGCCGGGTCCTGCACTTCGGCCACAACAACCCCAGGCGACGCTACAGGCTTGGGGCGGTGTGGCTGGAGGACTGCGTAGAGGAAATGGACCTGGGGGTATTGATTGATGCTCGGATCAACATGAGCCGACAGTGTGCCCAGGTGGCCAAGAAGGCCAATGGCATCCTGGCTTGCATCAGAAACAGTGTTGCAAGGAGGAGCAGAGAGGTGATTGTTCCCCTGTATTCAGCACTGGTGAGGCCGCACCTCGAGTACTGGGTCCAGTTTTGGGCCCCTCACTGCAAGAAAGATATTGAGGCCCTGGAACGTGTTCAAAGGAGGGCAACAAAGCTGGTGAGGGGTCTGGAACACAGGGCTTATGAGGAGAGGCTGAAGGAGCTGGGAATGTTCAGCCTGGAGAAGAGGAGGCTCAGGGGAGACCTCATTGCTCTCTATAACTTCCTGAAGGGAGGCTGTAGTGAGCTGGGGGTCGGCCTCTTCTCTCGTGTCATCAGTGATAGGACCAGGGGGAATGGCTTCAAGCTACGGCAGGGGAGATTCAGGCTGGACATGAGGAAGTATTACTTTTCAGAAAGGGTGGTCAGGCACTGAATGGACTGCCCAGGGAGGTGGTGGAATCACCGACCCTGGGGGTGTTCAAGGAAAAACTGGATGTTGTGTTGAGGGACATGGTTTAGTAGGAGCTATTGGGAATAGGTGAACGGTTGGACTGGATGATCTTTTAGGTCTTTTCCAACCTTGGTGATTCTATGATTCTATGATTCTATGATTCTAAAGTGTAAGTTGGATCAAAGTATTCTAAAAATTCTGAATTTGAATTGCCAGTAAGATTGTCCTCTCATCAAGTTAGTTTCTGCTCCTTCCCACAAGTTTCTTGAAACAACAAGTAGAAGAATATTCTCTGTGTTTTAAAAATTATAGAGCTGTTTATTTTAGATTATTTATCATAGTATTTTCAACATTTTTTAATTCAAGGACTATCTTAAGCTTGGTACAACTTAGCAAGTGTTACAATGGTTTTCATTTCACAAAGAAATAAAAATTTGGCTGAATTTTGTGCATTTATTATTATTCCCTCACATTGCTTTTTTTTTTTTTTTTTTTTTTTTTTTTTCTTACATAGATTTGCATGTTTATCTAATGCAGCAATAAAATGTGAGGGTTTTGTGAACTATCCTTTTGATGTTTTATGAATTAGCCCAAATCACAGAGAAACACTGACTGCTGTTTATTATCTTTTACTATAAAGCCAGCACAAGCTATTCCCTGCCCCTCCTTCCCCCAGAGTCTGTTTTTATAGCTATGTCCAAATGTAGATGTTAGAAGACATTTGGCTTTAATCCATGTTATCTTGGAGCCATCCCCTTTACAGTTAAAGATGCCAGCTAAAGCCTGATTTTCTTTCACAATTTTATATATTTATATTGGCAAAAACTTACTTATAAGTATATTGTGTATGGACAAAACTTTGCACTACATGATCACTCCTTATTTGTATTTTTAATAGTCTCCATTAGACAGACTCCAAACTAATTAGCCAAGCATCTGTAGTAGAAAAATTCTGTTTGCTATTTTCAGAACTAAGAAACTAATGGCTAAACTAATACTAGAACAATTAAGCAATAAGAAAAATAGTGTGTTAAGATTGGCAATATAGCTCTTGCCATAAATCACTGCAATAATGATTTCTATCTAAAAATATTGCAGATGATTTAAAAAAAAAAAAAAAAAAGGACAAATTACACATTATTTTTGTGTGCTCCACAATAGGTATTCCAGAGAATAAACAAACAAACAAAACTGCATGGTGTACATATATGTTAAGTTAATCAATAAGGGTATATTGGTGTCGTGTTTGTTATTGTTATTATTTTCATTATTTTGGCATGACCTTAGTTTTTACTACGACAAAATCTGTTCTTAGTAAAAATAAGCTAATAAATTTTAGCAAAATTTCAGCTACCAAATTTTCATTATGTTTACATATTTTTTAACTTCATGGATTAGATATCCTCGAAAAATTGATAAGACATTGGCTTACTAACTTAATACGTGAAAGTCCCGAAGTGTATTTTGTGCCTAAGTCTCTTAGATGAAGATCTGTTTCTTTGGCTATCGTAAGTTATCCTACTTCCATCCAGCTAAGTTGCTAAGTGGATGAAAGGGCATTAAACACTCATGTTCTGATAACAGAATTTTGTTCCAAGTCATTTAAGTTTTCAGAACTTTATTCAGCATTTAATTTCAGTTTTCTGTGATCCAGAATGACAGAAGTTGTCAAAAAGGGAATTATTTCAAAGTATATCCGCTTCAACAAATAAAATATGCAGTATACTAATGGGACAGCACAATTTTTGCTAATGTATTTGTTCTCAGAGTCCACCTCAGCCATTAGAATGGTAAAACTCCATATAATGAATTGAATGATTACTTACGACATAGTGTTCACAAAGTAAAACTGTTTGGGAGTTTTCAAATCAAATTTGTTCCACTGCCATTTCAACGTTCTAGAAATAAAATAAAATAAAATAAAATAAAATAAAATAAAATAAAATAAAATAAAATAAATCAACACCTTCTATGGATCATTAACAAATTACTTAAATTTCATAGAATCATAAAATCAAATGATCATTGAGTTTCAACCCCCCTTCTGGTGCAGGGTTAACAATGACTAGACCAGGCTTCCCAAAGCCACATCCAGCCTGGCCTTGAATGCCTCCGGGGAATAATTATATAATAAAATAAATATAAAATATAAAGTATAAAATAAATATAAAATAAAATAAATCAACACTTTCTATGGATCATTGACAAATGATTTAAATTTCCAGTCAATTTGGATAACCTTAGTGGTTGAAATGGGTTTTTCAGTTGTTCTGAGCAATAATTCTCATAAAAGAATCAAATGAAAAAATAAACAAAGACAAACAAGGAAGAAAAATGACTTTCTCTGAGAGATCTTGGAGTGTAAATGGTTTCTCGTTTTATAATTCAGTCCCTTCAAAAACTGCTGTTATTTTAACATATTTGCTTTCTTCTTCAAGCTATATATGTCCTCCGAAGTACACTATAATTGCTCAAAAATATTACATACTTGTTTTTATCATATTAAAATATAAATCAGAGTTCACACATTTCTCTTGCTTTGCTTTTTTTTGGACAATACATTGAAAATTTTAATTTTTTTTGCCCTCTGCAAAAGTGGAACAAAATACTATTATTTAAGAAATTCATAATAATATATTTTTTTCAAATTTTACTAATGGAATTATTAATTTAGTAAAGCCATGTAAGATTTGATTTCTCTTTTTTTGACAGTGAGAGTGGGAATAGTAAAATTTGTTACTAAAAAAATGTAATACTTTTCTTCACTTATGTCCATTACTACACAAATTCAGTTAACTTTGTAATGAACTTAGTAATATGCTTAAAGCTATGGAACTAAATAATGATATATTTGCAAAACTAATGGAATTCCCTAACTATTCTAATGTAAGGGAAACTTAATGTTAAGATCATGTGCAAGTATTTTAAAAATGTGGTCTTATTATCCAGCTAAGCATCAGCAAGAGATATAATATTTTTAAACATCTTTTACTCTTGAAATAATATCACATCAAGTATAAGCCTGTATAAACTTGCCATTACAAAGTACCTTAGGACTCATTTAGCAGCTAAGTTTTCTGTAATTTGTTCTGTTTTTCTTACTTAGTCTCTTCATAAATTACAAGATTATTCAACAGAAGAAAGCATTAAAACAACTGTTAAGGAAATTCAAGTTTCTAGACATGTAATAGAAAAGCTAACCCCCAGATCTTCAAAAGACAGTTTCTGCGGTACTGACTGAATACAGCCTTGCATTACAGTAAAAAGAAATAAAAAATAAATAAAAATTTAAAGAGTTCTGATTTGTAACTCCATTGTATGCCAGCACTGGATCCTTGCATACACAAAGGCTGCTTCAAAAGTAATGCCTCCTGTTTTGTTACCTTGGCCCACAATGCCAGAAGCAGATGTTGGCAGAATGGCAATAAAGGTTGAATCTTTACACCAATATTCCATTACATTTTGTTGTCATGCAACAAATGGAGCAGAAGGGTAGTCTGACAAAATGGTGTCTGACATGGAAGTGCTTGTGAAGCAAAGGTGGGTCACTGAATTCCGCCATAAAGAATAAACTGTATCCATTTGCATTCATCCACATGTGCTGAATGTTTATGGAGACCAAACAGAGGATGTGAGTTCAGTGAGGTGGTTGATGGTGCATTTCAGTACTTACGACAGTTACAGGTTCCCCTCCACTGGTCAGATTTTTATCAGTGTGGCTTGCAGGCTTCTGTCCATCTCTCACACAATTCAGAGTGCATGGTGGTGACTGTGCTGAAAAACAGTGTTTTGTAGCTGAGAATTTGCTCTATCAAATACTGCTACTGTGTTCTTTGTATGTGTTGTAGTTTCCATGAAAATAAACAACTGCCATTACTTTTGGAGCAACATACATCTATTATTATTATAACTTGCCTGTCATTCCGCTTCTTAATCTGACTCTTCTCTCTTCATTTTCCCTGTTTCCAATACATCTCTGTGTAGGCTTCATCATATAGTTATTCCAAGCTTCATTCTGTGAATCTCAGCAGCAACCTGAAGCAACCTGAATCCTGCCTGTGCCAGCCACTGTGGCACTGAAATTAGCATAGATGGAGATGTACTAACATCATTTGGAAGAGCAATGAGAGCCAGAAGTCGTGCTTGGTTTGGAGATGAAAAGCTGGTGAACTAGCACATTGTTTTTGCCTATTACACCACTTGGTAGGAGACAATAACTTTCCCAAACTTGTCCAATACAGCCAAAAAAAAAAATAATGACACAAAAGCAGTTGTGTTTGTTTCTTATCAGCAGGGATCCTATTGCTGCAAGCTCCACAGTGCTTTGGACTCTAGTTCTACTCATCAAACCATTCCTCCTGCTCCACTCGCCAAGCAGCTTACAGAAGGCAATTAACAATTGCATAAGCATTTGACTGTAAACAATTATGGAACTCAATGTCCTGTAGCTTGGAGGGGAAAAAAAGCCTCATGCACTGGCTGAGCTGATAATCAGTGACTTTGACAGTGGAAAACTCTGGCTCCGAAAGCCAAATAAAGCTGTTTGAACAGTTATGCCATCTCCATATTCCACCACAAACTGTCTTCAACTGGGAGATTATTTCTTTTACAGTGTCTGGCAGTTGATGAGATCCAAATGCCAGAGAAGAACTGGCACAGACTTTTCACTGTTCAGTTTGACCACTGCAGTCTGAGTGAACACACAAAAGTATGTCATGCTGTGTGCTGTTTTGAAGCTGATGATGAGAGCTGAACCATGGTGGGAAGCAAGCAAATGAGCAATGTGGCATAATTAAAACAGCCTGTGTGGCTAAAATGTACTGTATGGTATACTGAAGATGGGATACAAATAGTTAAGCTTTGGGCAACATGGAAGCTTCATATCAAGAAACAGGAGACTCAGAAAGCAGATCAGCAATCTGCAGTTTTCATAACAGCACAAAGTTTATGGCAATAGCTTTGTGGGAAAAGTGATGATGAATCATTTGATGTAAGAGATCCAAGCAAAACTTTAAAATTTCTCCATTAAATGCCATAGTGCCTTTACAGCTCACATCAGAGGTTTCTTTGCTGTGACAAGAAGTGATATCCTGGGTCAGATCAGTGCATTATCTAGTTGTTTTTTGTTTTGTTTTGTTTTGTTTTGTTTCCCTCCTCT